TCATCCGCAACTGAAGGTCCTTGAAGCGTCGTGCGATCCTCCAACGGACGCAGGAGTTCGGTCTTGCATTCAGGCTCTGAAGCGAGGAAAGGCAACAATTGGATGAACTCCCACTCTTTTCACGAAGTTGGTGCCCACCTCGTAATCTTTTTCATCGCGCGGCGAATCACTGATCGTTCCCATTTTCAAGAAAGGATCTCGAACCGATTGCGAAAACCACCGCGGGCTAGGTTTGATCCCGATGTTCATCAAGGTGCCCACCTCGGTCATACTATGGCTTCTGATTCCTTTAAGGGAGATCAACATCCGTGAACAGCAAGCCGGATTCCGGCCTGGCCCTGGATGCATGGATCAAAGTTTTACGTTGCGGCAGCTCCTTGAGCTGTGTCACACCCACCGTCGACCGACGATCGCATTCTTCTCTGACCTGGAAGGGGTGTTCGACTCAGTTAACCACCGAGCTTTGATGGGCTGCCTTCTTCGAAATGGAATGCCCCAGAAGTACGTGAACTTACTGAGGTTACTGTACTCGCACACGTTTTGTAACGTTATGGCTCTATGGTGGGCTAAGTAAATCGTCACCAGCGGTGGTGTTTGTCAAGCGTGCCCTCTTTCGCCGTTCCTGTTCAACTTCGTGGTAGACGACGTACTGAAGAACGTACTTAATGGTCTGCAAAACGTATGTATTGAATGGGCAGTTGGAGAAAAGCTGTGCGATTTAAAATACGTCGATGACCTTGTCTGTGTGTTCGAATGTACGGAAGATGCGCAGAGCGCACTTGATAGACTAACAAATGCAGTTGCTACATTCGGTTCGTTCTTTCCACCTTGAAAGTGCAAAATGATGCTGCAGGCCTGGGTTTCGCCTATCCCCGCTCTGAAACTAAACAACCAGAAATCCATTGTCGTGAATCACTTTCCATGCTTAAGCTAGTCATGTGACCAATGACGGTTTATTGTGCTAGCGTTTGTTCAGTCCCGCTTTATGGCTGTGAGACCTTGAATTTGCGCGTAGAAGTTTTCGACTATCGGTGTTTACGCAGTTTTGCTCACGTGGGATGGAGCGAACGGGTTAGTAACGTAGAGGTAAGCCGTTGTGTGTTTGAGAGTCTATCAGGGATGAACCTGCTGGCACACCGACTTCAGATTAGTAGACATCGCTGGTTAGGGCACGTATTGCGTATACTCGGTCATCGTTTGCGGCACGGCGCTTTATTCGCTGTAGCCAATCCGGGCTGGAGCAAACCACGTGGAGGTCAACAGATGACGTGGAGACGAGGCTTGAAGAAATGCATAGAGTCATTAGGTAGAGTAGGTGCGTCTCGCCTTCCAGTTTGAGGTCCGAAAGACTCCGCAACCGGTTGGTTGGAGACAGTGAAGGATATGGCAGCGAACCGACAGCAGTGGCGTTCTTGTTGTAATTTCTTATCAGGCCGAACTGCTTGAAACGGTATGTATGCAGAGTTCGATTTTGTGCTCTCTGTGTGTTGACCTTGTGGTCCACCTTCTTCCCTCTTCCTCAAAGTAGGTCCAATCCCTGTCCACCTTAAATTTCACCACTGATCTTGTGTGCGTTGCGAGTTTGGCAGCGGTCAGTGAAGTTCGCTTACTGCATTTAGCTGTTCGGTGATGATAAGGATGACTGAACGACAATGCAATCTTAGTGAGCTTTTTCTTAACATCTGTCTTCTCGAATATATCGCAATACAGTGTAGTGGTGCTATCTACACTTTGCTGATATCGTCTGCATCTTCGCCACAAATCTGTCTATTTGCACTGAACGGGCTTTTTTATTCTCAATAATGCATGCTCAGTGCATTAGTCTTTCCAATTTATCTTTGCATTCTTGGAGTTAAACGGATGTGTTTATCTCTTCAACCGTTTTGTCTTTTGATTCGAGGCTTGACATATCCTGTAACTCGCACCGTCTGGTGTCAGGGACGATACAGTACATTACTATTTATTCTAATTTATATGATAATGTCTTTTGTTTGGTTATTTCATGAATGTACATTTGCACAGTCAATATTCGTAAGAATGACTACGATCAATGAGACGCTGCCCCGGTCAAGAAGATGAGTGGCGTTTGTGAGATTCAATTTCACGGATTCCTATTCTTTGTACTGACTTTCCAAGATGTTTGTAACAGATATTCGACTTGGTACTCTATCTGTTATTTGCATCGAATCACCCTCCTGTCGTTCACTAACCGGTTTACTTAGCAATGCGTAAATTATGGGTTTTTCTCTGCTCCGAAACTGGTTGTACTATAGTACTATGGACCTCACAATGTCATCAACAGTCCTTTTCATTACTGATAATAAATTCCATCGTAAAATTTTTCGTAGCTGGAGTTGCGGAAAAACTCCGAGGAGGCTAACAGTCTTGCAACAGAGAAGAAAACAGTAGAAGAGGAACTTTCACAACTGAAGAAAAAATTGGAAGAACAAAGTGCTGCTGGGTGAGCATTACATTTTTGATTACTTTGACAGCAGTAAATCATGCCATCCAGGAAGGTTACTATAATATTGGAGTTTAAACTGGAAGAGTGTTCAGAATGTTTTCAGTTTGTTGAATCTGGAGATTTATGATGCCGCAGTTCGTGAAAAAAGAGATGGGATATTTTGCAGCTCATGTGACACCTGGAAACAAACACTTACTGAGTATGGCTACTGTTCTCTTTATATTTCACCCCTTTATCTGATGAATATCGGATCGATTGGAATCCTTAATCAAAAAGATTAATTTCCGGTTGTTTAAACCGGAGACCTCCGTCCTGTATCCTGCAGTGTCAAACTAATTAAGGTTTCTATAGAATAGGCGCGTTGCTGAGCTGGACGAAAATGAAATCGTCTATCTGTCCTGAACTGGTGGGGGACGCTGAAGAGGGAGAAGAACCGATGAGACAATGTTAAAACCGCAAATCAGACTAGTGATATTGAAAAGGGACTACTGAGCGATTACCCGGTGTGAGTCAGTAACTGCGAAACGAATTTTAGGTCAAAGTTAGATGACGTGGCGATTCGTTTCGTAATGAGTTAGTCGGGTAGTTGGAGGCACAGGAAAAAATAGCGTCACATGATTCACTGCAGTATTGAATTCTCGGATGCACCTGCAATCCTGAATTATCTTGTTGCTTGTGGTATTATGTTAAATAGTCGATGGATTAAGCCGCATGGTCATGATGACTTGCGGTTCGCCCGTAGTTTTCCTCAATCTTAGCCCTGGGATTCAAAGTGATGAGCAACATAAGGCTTCATGAGGATAGTCATTTATCCGAACCAAAACGGAGCTGATTACGCAAGATAGTGGGCGGTGTTAGGGTCCAAACCTCAACCGCTAGTCAGAAATATACCAATGATAGCAACTTGGGTCGCTTTAGTGGCAGGTGAGTTGTAAGCGTTTTACACAATAAAAACCTGTATTACGCTCAGCGTAAGAAGGGACTGGATATTCGAGTTCCTGAAATTAGAAATTGTGATAATAACGAAGGAGGAATTACAATTGAAAAGGCGCCAATATGCATCATGTTTGGACGAAACGGAGACATGAGTTGCACAGCTACATCATTCTCAGACTTATTCGATCGAGATAAACGATATGACTTCTCGAGATAAACCGGGAGGTTGGGAGAGTCGCATAACTTTTCTGACGGGAGTTTCCAATGGACTTTTAGAAAGTTGATACCGAGAAGCGTTCTGGCACTAATTTGACTGACTCGACCAAATTTTGTCAACATTTTGTTGAGAGCCAGTTGAACCATTTTCACCGTCCTAATATTTGTTCTTTCAGCATTCCCCCAGATTTTAAGCCGAAAGTCTTCATATAAAACCTAAACTCCAAAGTACCAGGTGAACAGTTGGAAATAAACTGGGTGGTTACAGTATCCAGACTCTTTGGAGGTGAGAAACCAGTAGATTCCACAGTTGGTTTTCCAACCTTTTTCCGTTCAGTACTTCTTAGAGAATCAACCAGTTTCACTATCTGTAGCGCGGATGGCATGTACTAACAGTTCAGATTCGTGCACTTTCCATTTTGCTTTCATGATTTTTTCGCCATATGTGAACCATAATGAATTTATTCCCAGATATGGTCGCCTGGCGGAAGAATACAACATGCTGACGGAGCGTTACAATTCCCGAGTGAAAGTCAAATCTGACTTGAACCGAGAAACTGAACAACTACAGTTAGATTTCAGTCGCCGCGAAGGTCGCATCGCTCCTGCTTTTCAGTTGTGTTAATGACTTCCTCAGTTCTTGTGTTAACCAGTGTTGTTCACTTGAAGCGGTCTTCGTCCATAAAAGTTATAGATATCCATCTCGGTTTTGCACAGCCTAAACTCAGAAGGGTGTGAATATATATAAACCCACTCATATATTTTCCATACACCATAGGTCTTAGACTTAGACTGCCAATTACTATGTGTAATTCCAGGTGGTCTGTGACGAGCTTCCGGACTTCTTTTGTCAGTAGGATAGCCAAATTGCGGAACACTTTCCTTATCATTTTCACCTTTCTCGATCCTCAAAATTTCAAGTGCTTTGGAACAAAAATCAACAAAATTGATCTCCATTGGAACACACTTTATTGTTATGAACAGCAGGTGGGGCGGACTCCGTAGTCAAGAACATCTACTGTTTGGTAATCGAAACCGGCAACCTAAGCCGCTGGACCTGGAGTGGCGAACCACATAAGGCCTCTCGAGGCTAGGCGTGATACTGGACCGGACGATAGCAAAGCTGCCTACCACCAAAGTTGAGTGGGGGTAGCGGGACATTCACCTTGGACCACAGGGTCCAAAGCACGTCGGCGACTGCAACTAAACCACGGCGCCACCACCACTTTTCTATCGGAATGCCTCACATGTTTCGTCTAACCCTTTCAAAACGCGTCTGTGGATTACGGAGTTCAAAGCTTTTGTTGTAAAACGAACTATATATGTGTACAGATTATTTCAATAAAAACTGGAAAATGTTCATTCCGATTTTCTCGTATTATGTTCATGAAAATGGATTACTCACCTCAACTGTCGATTCACTGATTTGCTCGCCTTTCAGTTGCACATGATAGACGTAAACAGCGATCTCATAGAGAAGGCGGCCAAGAGGTTCTTCTTCTCTGACTTGATCATCGTCGTACTTAAACATGTAACCACCGTGCTTGAACTACCGAAAATGGAAAATGACACAACAGGATTCGTGTACCTCGTGTGACTCAACGACTTCTTCACGTAACCAGTCGAGTGCAGCCAAAACAGATGGCCAAGCGTGCGGTGCACCGGGGGTGGCTAAATATTGTTTACTTAGCATGTAAGGGTATCCCAGTTCGCGTAATGTGCTGCAAAATAAGAGTCAAGGAGTTTATGGGCATACTTGAGACACACTTCTTCGGCCTTTAATCCAGGACATTTTAAACGGAACAGTGGATCGACCTGCCGAACGAGATGCTCGAATATGCAAAATACTTCTTTTGCATTTGGTGATTGTAAAATACGAGTGGAGATCTCATTCGGATAGTCAGTGCTATCCAAGAACTAAGTATACATAGTAATCTGTGGAATACTTACTTCAATCAGAGCGGTAACCGCTCGACTCATGAATGCCTTGGATTTCACATCACGGGCCATTGGACGAGGATCGTGTTGTGGAGCCATACTGGCAGGTCTGGAAATCGGGTAAGACATAAAACAATAACGCTTACCGTGATTTGAATGCTGGAGGTACTATAGTTGTTCTCCGCTGCTTATTGGGTGGAAGGCTGTGATTCCGCCTCATTGTGATATAAAGTCAAGATGCAACCTCCAAAAAAAATGGGAAAATGTTGTCACAAGA